TTTCTCTTACACCAATGTGTATGAACAGAGGAGGAAAGCAATGGTTGTGCACGAATGTTTGCTGGAGAATTGTTTACAGTGGCATAAAAATGAACAAAAATCAAAATATGTGAGAGAAATAAATGAAATGTCTATGAATAGAAGACTCATTAACTTGTATGACTACGAATGAAATATTACGCAGGTATTTGAAAGAAAGAGGTAAAGTTCTATTGCTGAAATGCATAATATTCTTAACTAAACAATTTGAGGATACACGTATATGTGTGAATATTTCTTAAGAGAATATGCACGAGAGACAACAATGGTGGCTATTTCTGGACAATAGAACTGGAAATGGAATGAAGAAGATTTTGACTTTCACATTATATTCCCTCAATTTTTTTCATGTGTATGTACTATTTTTATAACTCAAAAAATATACAATGTAATAATTAGGTAAAATCCTAGCTCTAATGTTATACACTAATAAAGATGTCCATTGCCTGAAAATTCAAAGTAACAAAATATGGTTGGACACTCTCTGAATGGCTCTTCCAAAATAAATCCATAAAACCTAAATTAGATCAATAAATACCAGAAAAAATAGAATCCGCACACTTACCATCCACTGACAACCTGCTCATCATACCTGAGGGAGAAGACATACCAAATGATGTGTAAATGCAACAGAAAGAAATATTTCTAATGAACAAATTTCCCCAGATCAACAGATTTAACAAACTCTGTTCTTTGGAAAGTATGGCTATGATGCTTCAAGAATGTTTTAGGGTTTCCTCAATATTCCCATTGTCCCCTTTCCTAGCCCCATCACCCCTAGCCACCATCACTTGTCTCTAATCAAATTTAATTTCTGTTTATTTGTTTCTGTTCTTCACCAGTGTCTGAGTTCCTAAACAGCGAGCATTGCTGATCCATCTTTGGGTCCCCACCACCCAAGCATGAGTCCAGGGACATATTAGATGCTCAGAAATTCTTGCTCGAAATTTCCCACTGAAGTTCACAGTTCAAGGGCACTGTGAATGTGACAAGATATTCACCTAGAATTTCTGATAGCCGCCCATCCAGGAGAAGAGTCAGCATGGAGGTCAAGGTTACAGATGTGGTACAGAATGGTGGAATGGGGATCCCGGTGATGAAGCCATGAGTAGAAAACAAACAAACAAAAAATAACCCACAAAAACAAAAACAAAAACAAAACAGGATCAGATGATGGGTGCTGGGAACAGGTTGGGAAATAGAGCCCACCGTGGGTCATGGTGAGTGGTTGGGGACCAGAATCCAGAGCCCTGTGAGTTTTTGACAATCTCTGCATTTTCCGAGATAGCTTACATGTGCTGGAAAATGGCCATGGACCATTCTTCAGCCATGCTAGTCTAGAAAGAGGTACCCACACCAGTCCTCTCAGATCATTGTCCCCATGTTGCCAATGAAGACAGCAGAGGCTTGTGAGATTATGTAATTTGCTTGCAAAACCACCCTCCATAGCATCTCAAGTCATCAGGTAAGTAAATGCCGAATGCTATCAGGAACATAGGTGTGGAAGTCAATGGTTGATAGCCAAGCCATACATTTTACTAACTGGGTGATCTCGTCCTGGTCACTGAACTCTCCATGCCTCTGCAAAATGGAGATATTATCTTCCATTTGGAGCTCTGGTGATAATGAAGGAAGATAATGCATGGCGTTCTTAGCCTAATTCCTACCTCAAGGTAAACATTCAGTAAATGTTAGAAATAGTAACATGATGCTAGTAATAATTGCAATAATAATAACAACAACAATAATAATAATAACACCATTCTTAAGTAGTAAAGACTATGTGCATGTGTATAGGGGGGGGAGAATAGAAATAGGAAAAGCCATTAAACCCTGGTTTTCTTGGGTTGAGTTGAAGAGCGTTTCACATCTGTGATTTCATGTAACTGCATGCAGTAGGCACAGAGAGGTGAAGTGACTTCTCCAAGGTTGTCCAGCTAAGAAGGGGCAAACCTGGGCTCTGAAAACAGAGGTGCCTGAGCCTGTGCCTGTTCTACCAGATATCATCTCATGTCCTGACTTAGCCTCCTCTCTCCCCGACTTGCAAATCCAATCATCAGCTGTGGTTTCATTCGACTGAACTGGTGCCAGGGATAGAAAGACCCACTGAAGGTCATCAGAAGTTTCCCCTGTTGGACAAGGGCAGTCCTCGCGGGAAGGGAGAGAGATGGAAGTCTTACCTTTCAGCACTGTTGACATGCAACCAGCAGGACAGAGAGGACCGATGGTGGCCAGTTGGATTGTTTTCCCAGTAAAGGTTCAGAGAAAATATGAAATTAATTAAGTCATCCTTGTACCTCACTGGACCCCATAGGTGCCGAGATAGGACAGGGAACCAGAATGAGAAGCTGTGATCCATTTTATGAGCCCTGGACCCCCTTTGGAGACACATTTATCCCAAAGAAACCCCAGGGAGCATGCCGGTGCCTTTTCCTTCTCTCTTTCATCCCCCCCACCCCAGGCACATTTTCTTGCCTCTCTCTCTCTCTCTTCTAAGCTCCAAGAGCCCTTCTTTTGCCTCTGTAACTTGTTTCCTGAGCCCATTTCTTCTACTACTCACTTCTACCTCTGTGACTCTCTAAATAAACTTTCTCTTAGAAAGAAAGAAAGAAGGAAGGAAGGAAGGAAGGAAGGAAGGAAGGAAAGAAGGAAGGAAGGAAGGAAGGAAGGAAGGAAGGAAGGAAGGGGAAAGAAGGAAGACAGGAGAGAGAGAGGAAAGAAGGAAGGAGGGAGTGAAGGAAGAAAGGAAGAAAAGAAGGAAGAAGAAGAAGAAGAAGAAGAAGAAGAAGAAGAAGAAGAAGAAGAAGAAGAAGAAGAAGAAGAAGAAGAAAGAGAGAGAGAGAGAGAGAGAGAGAGAGAGAGAGAGAGAGAAACCTCAGGCATACCAGTTGCCTGGGGCATCCAAATCTTCCCCCCTCCACCTGAGTTTTGGGAGGTTATCGAAGGAGGGTCTCCATAACAACCAATCATCATCTCCATTTCTTAACTAGACACCAGGATAGTTACTACTTGCAAAAGAGGGAGGTTTATCCACTCTGCACCACATTTTTTTCTCATTGAAAACCCACTAATGAACACACACAACCCAGCTGTATATTTCAGAGCAGAAGGTCACCCATCCTACTGAAAATCTGATGACAGCAATGAAATCCACATTCCCCCAAAACCACGCAGGTTCCCTCTCTCACACGTGATTACAGAGGCTTGTTGACTTCCCTGAAGTCCACCCAGTTGCCCTACCCCGGGGATCTGCAGATTCTGGGTTCAGATCCCATGTAGAATTAAGAGCTTCTCTCTGCATCCGCCCACGCTGAACGTGGTGGTGAGCAGTTTTGCCCCTCCCTTTGGCCCCTTCCTTCTCTGGGTTGAAGGGCTCCCTGCTCGAGAACGGAGAAGAAAATAGGACTTACACTTGACTGCAAGGAACAACGGAACCCGGAGTCAGAGAATCAACATGGAAAATAAAAGCAGCAAAGAGAGCAGGATTAATACTAACATTATCCACCTCAGTTAATTTCCACATGCATATTTTATTCCTTTATTTATCTGCCTGTTGTCCTATGGGGAGGGGTTTCACAAGAGGCTATTTTTATGTACTTAGCACCACATCCAGCTCCTAGTTATGCCCTCCCCCCCCAAGACAAAGCCTGAGAGATCCAAGCCCCACCTTTCCCCAGAGTTCCCTGAGGGGTCTTAATATCTGAAGGAATCTGAAAGGAGCTAGCTAATGGAATACAAGCTTGGGGTGTCCACAGTTCTTACTTTTTTCTTCAATTGCAACTGGAAGCAAAGGCATTAGCCATCCGAATCCCAAGGAGCAGGAAGCAGGGAGCAGGGAGAGAATTCAGAATTAGATTAAAATCAAATCACTGCAATAATCAGAGACCAGAGCTGGAAGTGTCCTTGGAGACCAGATAACCCACCCACCGTTTGTATCAATAAAGCCACTTGGGTTTATTCAATTATCCATACAACATTTATCCATTATCTATCAATTCATCCATCCATTGTCTATCCATTCATCAATCATCTATGCATCATCCATCCATCCATCCATCCACCCATCCATTATCCATATATCCACCCATCATCCATCTATCATCTATCCATCACCCATCTACCCATCAATCACCCATCCATCCATCCATCCACTCATCATCCATCCATCATCTATCCACCCACCCATCCATTTTCCATCCATCTATCATCCAACCATGGAGGGACTCAGAGACTTCCTGCCCCAGGACCTTTGCATCCAGAACCATCTCCCCTAACACTTTACCTGACTCGTTCCTACTCATGGTCAACATCTTGCCTCCACGGGAACTTATCCAAAGAGACTTTCTCCAATCGCCATACTAGGATGTGTTTATTTGTGTAACATGAGAATTCCACAGAGAGGAGTCTGGTCTGTCTTTTTCACCCACTGTATTCCTAGCTTCAGCCCAAGTAGCAAACCAGAAACTCAGTAAACATTTGTGGGGCAAATGACCGAATAGGAACTGAGCTTCGTGAAAAGACTGCAGTGTTGTTCCCAACATATGGTGTCTTTGTGTCGCGAAGGTCTGGGGTCTCACTAGAACTATGTGCCATTGTAACATTAACTCCCAGGCATGACAAATAGAAGCTCATTGAGGACACACAGCCCATCCTGTGGACAGCAGGTCTTGTGATGCCCACTGGTCCAACGAGGACGGTGGGGCTTGTGGAGGCATTGCATTCCTGCCAGCCACCAAGTCCACAATAAAACCCGGACACAGACACAAACCTATCTGTCTGCAAGGGAAAGGACTCCAGGAACCAAGACGAATCCACCCCACCATCTCCTCCAAAGGAGAAGGAGAGGAGAATGTCTGAACCTGAAGCCAGAAGGAGTCTGGTTAGACTTCAAGAGGCCCCATCTGAAGCCAGCCCACAGTCAGAAGAAACGGAGGGAGATCAAAAATGGGTGTAGGCATTACCTGTGCGGGGGATGCAGCCTTCTGCCAGTCCCAGGAAAAGCAGGATCAGCAGGGGCATCTTCAGAAACACCTCGGGTCTGTGCATGGTGGGGCCAGGGTTGGGGTGGATGTTCCCCTTCTAGGACAAACAGGAACTCTGCTCTCCCCCACCACCTGCTCTCCACGCTCCCGAATTCCAAGGGCAGAGCCAGCTGCCCACATGTGCCCTCCAGCTGGCCTGGAGGCTGGCAGGGACCCGACCTGTGCCCACGCCCCCAGCTGCTGCCACAGAACTTCTTCTTCCCGCCGGCAGCTGCCTATTGATCTGAAAGCAACCTTTTGAACAATGTGAGGCTGAGCAGGCTTCTAACCATCTTGTGACACACGGGACCAAGTCCTGCCCATCTCCTGTTTCTGTAGAACCAATGAGCCAAGAGTGGTTTATATATATACATATAAATATGTTTTAAATATGTTTTTATTGAGCCCTGGCCAGTTTGGCACAGTGGTTAGAGTGGCGGCCTGAGAATCAAAAGGTCTTGGGTTCGATTCCTGGTCAAGGGCATGTACCTGGGTTGAAGGTTCCATCCACAGCCCACCAGGGGCATGTGTGGGAGGCAACCAATCGATGTGTCTCTTTCACATTGATGCTTCTCTCTCTCTCTTAAGAATGCAATATAGGAAGTCCTGGCAGGATTGGTCAGTTGGTTAGAGCGTCATCTTGACACGCCAAGGTTGCAGTTTTGATCTCTGGTCAGAGCATGTACAAGAATCAGTCAATGAATGTATAAATAAGTGGGACTCGAAATCAATGTTTCTCTCTCTCCCTCTCTTTCTCTCTCTCCCTTCCTCTCCCTAAAAACATATCCTCGGGTGAGGATTAAAAATAAATTAATTAAATTTTAAAAAGGATGCAATATAGGTATATATCACATCCATACATACATTTAATATATGATATATGTGATATCTTATGCACATATCTCTTAAGTGATTCTTTCATGCATAAGTATTTGTTTATTTATTTTTACTGTTAAAAGTATTACAGATGCCCCCCCCATTTTCTCCCATTGACCCCCCTCCTTCCCGCTCCCTGCTCCCACCCATGCGCAAGTATTTAAAATGCTTTATTATTCATGTCCAATGTATCCCAGACTTCCAATATTCATTAACCACAAAGTTTTGTATGCAAAGCATGAACATTTTGTCCTAAAAGTAAAGCATCTTATGAAGAGATGGAGCAGAGGGGTTTGGGTGGCTGGGAAACTGCTCGATATGATCCTGTATTGGTGAAGACACGACACTTATGTGTTTGTCAAAATCCCTAGAACAAGCAACACAGAGTGAACCCTAACAGACACTGTAGACTCTAGTTAATAGCAACGCACGGATACTCGTTCATCAGTTGTAAGAAATGAATCACACTCGTGTGAGAGGTGAATATGAGGGAAAAGCCTGTGTGTCTGAGATCGGGGCAACCCCAGGTCGGGTGTCTGGTGGGAGCCCCTGCCTTGCCTGCAGATGGCCATGTCCCCGTGTTCTCACCTGGTAGGGAGTAGAGAGCGAGGCCACGCTCTCCAGTCTCTTCTCTTTTTTTTTTTTTTTAAATATGTTTTTATTGATATTTTAGAGAGAGAAGAAGGGAGAGAGAGATAGAGAAATCGATGTGAGAAACATCCATCGACTGCCTCCTGCACGCCCCCTACTGGGGATCGAGCCCCAAACCCAGGCATGTGCCCTGACTGGGAATCAAACCAGGACCTCTTGGTGCATGGGATGACGCTCAACCACTGAGCCACACTGGCCAGGCTCCCGTCTCTTCTTCTTCTTCTTATTTTTTTTATCCTCACCCGAGGACATTTTTTGATATTTTGTTCAGATAAGTGGGAGGGAGAGAGAGAGAGAGAGAAACATCGACGTGAAAGGGACACATCGAGCAATTGCCACCCGCACAACCCAACCAGGGCCAGGGACAAACTGCAACTGAGGTACGTGCCCTTAGCGGGAACCGAACCAGGGTCTCTGGGGACCACAGGCTGACGCTCCAACCACTGAGCCAAACTGGCCAGGGCTCCCGTCTCTTCTTATAAGGACACCGATCCCATCAGAAGGGACCTCATCACCTCCAAATGCCATCTCACCAGGGAGTTAGAAATTTTTTTTTTTTTTTTTTGGTTAATCCTCACCTGAGGATATTTTTCCATTCTCTCTAAAAGTCAATGGAAAAATATCCTCAGGTGAGGATATTTTTCCATTGACTTTTAGAGAGAATGGAAGGGAGGAAGGGAAGGAGAGAGAGAGAAACATCAACGTGAGAAAGGCATAGATTGGTTGCCGCCTAAACACACCCCGAACAGGGCCAGGGGTCAAACCTGCAGCCCAGGTACACGTCCTTGATTGAAAATTAAACCTGAGACCCTTCGGGGCATGGGCCCACGCTGTAACCACTGAGCAAACCAGCCAGGGCGGGATTAAGGTTTTTAACATATGATTTCAGGGAGGACACACACCCATGTTTGCAGCAACATTACTCACGAGAGCCAGAAGGTGGGAACAACCCCTGTCCATCAGTGGACGAGTAGATAAACCAAAGGTGGTCTATCCATATACTGGGATAGTATTCAACCATAAAGAGGAGTAAAGTGGGGTGCTCTCCCTCCGGGGGGCATGCTGGCGCCTTCCCCTCCCCCTTTTCTTCCCCCACAGGCCTGCATCTCCTCAACTCTAAGGGACCCCCGCCAGGCTTGCAACCAGGGGAGCAATGGGTCACAGCAGCTCGTCCTGGGCTAATCCCCTGAACCTGTCCCCAAGGGCCCCTTTTCTCTGACTTCCCCATGGGCCAAAGCAGCCTGGCCGGGGCTCTCCTGTTGTTTTTCTACCCTGGGCCCTTCCTTGTTTCACTGTCCCCCGGTTTAATAAATGTACTCTCAAAATAAAGGAGAAAAAGAGAGAAATGAAGCCCTGCTGGTGTGGCTCAGTGGACTGAGTGTCAGCCCACGGACTGAGAGGTCCTGGTTGGATTCCTGGTCAGGGCACATGCCCGGGTTTCAGGCTCCATCCCCAGTAGGGGGCGTGCCAGAGGCCGCTGATCCATGTTTCTCTCACGTCAGTGTTTCCATTTCTCTTTCCCTTCCCCTTTCTCTAAAACATTAACAAAAACATATTACCTAAATAATTAAATAAAAAGAGAGAAATAGCCCTGGCCGGTTTGGCTCAGCGGTTAGAGCATCGGCCTGCGGTCCAGAGAGACCTGGGTTCGGTTCCCGCTAGGGGCATGTACCTCGGTTGCAGTTTGTCCCCGGCCCTGGTTGGTCGTGCGGGTGGCAGCCACTCGATGTGTCCCTTTCACGTCGATGTTTCTCTCTCTCTCTCTCCCTCCCACTCTACCTGAACAAAAGGTGGAAAAATGTCCTTGGGTGAGGATAAAAAAAAAGAGAGAGAAATAAAGTAATGTATGTGCCATGATGTGAATGATCCTTGGCAATAGGAAGCCCAGTGAAATCAGCCAGACACAAACGATGACATATTGTATCATTCCATTTATGTAAAACATCCCCGGTAGGTAAATCCCCGCAGAGGGAATGTGAACTAGTGATGGCTGAGGGCAGGGTGTGGGGGAGGGAGGGAGGGGTGCTGCTTCATGAGAATGGGGTCTCCCCTGGGGGCGGGTGAAAGTGTTTTAGAACCAGGTACAGGGGGTGGTTGTGTAACACTGGGAATGTACCACATGCTACCGAATCATACACTTTTATTTATTTTTATAACCTCCCCCGAGGACATTTCTCCATATTTTGTTCAGATAGAGTAGGAGGGAGGGAGGGAGAGAGGGAGAGAGAGAAAGAGAGAGAGAGAGGGAGAGAGAGAGAGAGAAACATCGGTGTGAAAGGTACATATCGAGTGGCCGCCACCCACATGATCCAGGGCCGGGGACAAATTGCAACCGAGATACTTGCCCTTAGCAGGAACCGAACCCAGGTCTCTCTGGACCACAGGCTGATGCCCCAACCGCTGAGCCAAACCGGCCAGGGCCGAATCATACACTTTTAAATGGATGATTTTAGCCCAGCCGGTGTGGCTCAGTGGATTGAGCATCGTCCCATGGACTGAGAGGTCCCTGTTCGATTCCCGGTCAGGGCACATGCCCATGTTGTGGGCTCCATCCCCAGTGGGGGACATGCAGGAGGCAGTCGATGGACATATCTCTCTCACATTGATGCTTCTGTCTCCCACTCCCTTCCCCCCTCTCTAAAAAATCAATAAAAACATTTTTTTAGAAGGTTGATTTTATGTTAGGTGACTATTATCTCAGTTTAAAACTTTTTTAAGTATGGGAAAATATATAAAAGTCTCTAAACATCACACTCGGCCACCTGCATTTTTTTTTTTAAGTCCAAGCCTGTTAAACCACATTAAACAATGAAACCAGCAGCTACCTCCCAGCTCTTTCTGGGGAAATTAATGAAAACGACTTGATGCGTGTAGGCCGTTCCTGGGGCAGTCCCAGAGCTCAGTCAGGGTGGGAGGAATGAGGTTTCTGTCCCTGCCCCAGGGGCCCGTCACTCCCACAAAGCAGCCCCCACACAGGTGGCTACAACCTCAACAGGTGTGACCTCCGTGGCCACAGCCCCGCTCCTCTGACCTGGGCAGTCTGCTCCCTCCTCCCACCTTCTAGGGAAGGCCACACCCCCGGCCAGGTCCTGGGACTGACCACCCATTTCCTGGGCTCTGGCTGACTCTCTGATGGCCAGTCTCTTCGCACCCTCTCTGGACAGAGGCCCAATGGAGTTTCTTGTCCCCCACTGAACAGATGAGGGAGCAAGGAGTTTAAGAGGTTTGCCCAGAAGGGACATGCGATGTCTCTTCCGAGAATGAGCCAGACAGTGAAATCATAATGAACAAAATAAACTGACGAACAAAATAGAAACAGAGGCATGGATACATGGAACAGACTGGCAAGGGGTCACAGGGGACGGAGGAGGGAGGCTTGGTGAAGGAAAGTGAAGGGATTAGCCAGAGAATATATATGCATAGCCCATGGACACAGACAATGGTGTGGTGAGGGCCAGAGGGAAAGAGGGGGCAGGGGGTAGGTGGATGTGGACAAAG